GCCAACCCCATCTCTTCTCTGCCTCCCATCGAGTCCTAGCTGATTGGCTGGGTTTTCTTTGGTTGCCCTGCGCAGGAGAACAGAGCTGGAAAGCAGGTTAGTGGGGTGGGGAGGGAAGGGGGATTTAACAGCATCTCCTTCCCCTGCCACGCCCACCAAGCCACGCCCACAGAGCCAGTAGTAAAAACGTTTTGAATCCCACCACTGACTTGGTTTCCTGGTTCTGCCGGTCTCCAGATCTTAAAGGACCATGTCCCCTTTTTTTCCCCCCTTCTCACCCATTTTCCAGCTGGTGCCTTTTTGCCTTGATAACAAGCCACTAATGTTGGCAACTGTGCATTCCTGGTTTGACCACAACCCTTGTAGGGCACTCCAAGCAGAAGCCCGATGGACGGGCAAAGAGCCCTGGAGGATGGCTGCGGTTGGGGAACGTTCCCCGATGGCCCTGATTCCATATGACCCCTCTTGGTAGTCCCTCAATGGTCTTTGTAGTCAAAAGAAGCCTTGTGGAATCACAGCGTTGAGACCTCATTGAGACAACTCACATCATCCAGACAAAGCCCCATTGATCCGCAGGGGGATTGCGTGCTCAGGACTGAGCGATTGCTGCTCTTCGTAGTCATCCCAGCCTGAAGATGGGAGGGTAGAGAGACTACAATACTGCTGGGTCCCTTCCTGGTTATGACAAAAATGCCAGATCTCTTTCTAGTGAAATTCCACCCGTTTGGGTGGCTGTGGGCCATGCCTCTTTGCTTGGAAGCCTGCAGAATGTTGTCTTCCAGTCTGATCCTTTGGGTCTGGTCTACAGCCCCGGGGTTGCCTGGGACGGCCCTTTGGGGTAGGCCAAGTCAAGACCTAGATCAGGGGTCTCCAAACTTGGCCACTTTAAGACTTGGTGGACTTCAACTCCCAGAATTCTCCAGCCAGCTATTCCAACACAGATGCACCTCTGGAAACAGAAGGGGGGGGGAGGGAGGGAGGGAGGGAGGGAAAGAAAGAAAAAGGAAAGAAAGGAAAGAAGGAAGGGAGAACAAGAGAGAGAAAGAAAGAGGAAGGGAGGGAGAGAGGAAGGAAGAAAAGAAATAAAAATAGGAGGGAGGGAGAGAAAGAAAGAAAAAAAGAAAGGGGAGTTGGGAGACAGAGAGAGAATGAAGAAAGAAAGAAAAGAAAGAAAAGAAAGAAAGAAAGAAAGAAAGAAAGGAGTTGGGAGACAGAGAGAGAATGAAGAAAGAAAGAAAAGAAAGAAAGAAAGAAAGAAAGAAAGAAAGAAAGAAAGAAAGAAAGAAAGAAAGAAAGAAAGAAAGAAAAAGAAAAAGGGAGGTAGGGAGACAGAGAGAGAGAGAAAGAAAGAAAGAGGAAGGGGGGAGGGAGAGAGGAAGGAAGGACAAAAAGGAAAGAAAGGGAGGGAGGGAGAGAGAGAAATAGCAGGAAAGAGAGAAAGAGGAAGGAAAGGAGAGAGAGAGAAAGGGGAGAGAGAGAGGAGACAGAGAGAGAGAGAGAAAGAGAGAAAGAGAAAGAGGGAGAGAGGGAGAGAGACAAAGAAAGAGAGACAAAGAGAGAGAAAGAAAGAAAGAAAGAAAGAGAAAAAGATAGATAGATTGAGAGAGAGAGAGAAAGAGAGGGAGAGAGAGAGAAAGAAAGAGAAAAGGATAGATAGATAGAAAAAGAGAAAGAGGGAGAGAGAGAGAGAGAAAGAGAGAGAGTCCCTCCCTCCTTATAAAACCAGCCGTCCCTCATGCAGTCAGACAGGTTTCAAAGGGCTCTGGAAACTCGTCCCAAAGTAGAAACCTCCTTCCCAGCCTCGTCAAACTCGTTGGGCAACCAGAGGCAACCGGGGGACAAAGCCAGACAGGTTCTGCCTGGGCCAGGAGGAGGTTTGGCAGGAGGAAACCCAGATTGCTTGCGGGAGGCCCTGCTGGCATTGTGCCCCCCCCCTTTTCCGCTCTCTTCTTCCCCTCATTTTCTCCCCCCCCCCCCCCCCCCCCCCCCCCCCCCCCCCCGCAAGGCTGAGCTCAGCCAGGCTCTGGCAAGGGGTGGGGGGGAACTCGAAGACAGACTAACAGAGTTCGGAGGGACCTTGGAGGTCATCTAGTCCAACCCCCTGCAGGTGACCCTACCATTTCAGACAAATGGCTGTCCAATCTCTTCATAAAAACTTAGAATATAGAATAGAGTAGTGGAGTTGGAAGGGACCTTGGGGGGTCATCTAGTCCAACCCCGTGCCTAGGCAGGAAACCCTTACACCACTTCAGACAAAACCTCCAGTGTTGGAGCGTCCACAACTTCTGGTGGCAAGCTGTTCCGCTGTTTAATTTCTCCAACTATCAGGAAATTCCTCCTTTCCTTCTTAGATGGCTTCTCTCCACCCGTTGCTTTCTTTCTCGTCCTGCCTTCAGGGGCTTTGGAGAATAGATGGAATCACCTCCCCGCCCCAAGCCGTGTTTAATTAAGATCCCATGTTGCACTGCCTGCAGGCAAGGGCAGGTAGGTGAGTGGGAGGTAGCTGCCTGCCCCCCTGCCCCACATGCCTGCGTTCCTTTCAGCAACCCTGTCCAATCAACTCAATCTTCCTTCCGTTTGGTGCTGAGTCAAAGGCAGGCAATGCTGGTTTGGTGCTGAGTCAAAGGCAGGCAATGCTGGTCCGGAGGTTGAGGAGGCTGGTGATTCAAACTTTGGGATCAAAGTCTGTAGGAATACCAGGAAGGAGGGGTGTGGCAGGGGAGGGGAGAAGAGTGGAGGGGGAGGTCCGGCCTCTTCCAAACCAGCTAAGCCAGCGGAAGGAGAGGGAGGAAAAGGGGCCTGCTTCGAGTCCTGTCTTAAACCTGGTCAAGGTTTTCTCTCTCTGTCTCTTTCTTCCTTCCTTTCTCTCTCTCTTTCCTCTTTCTCTCTCTCCCCCTCTTTCTCCTCTTTCTCTCTCTCTCCCC